ATGTAAACAAGTACCTACCACCTACTTTGAAAAAGATTTGCTCACTTTTATAAATTACAAAACATTACACAGCTAAAGTAGCAATGCTCAAATTCAATAGACACACATTTTATGTCATTGACAAAAGCATGCCTCGTCTCAAGAGTTTAAAAAGTAAAACTGTAACGTTGGTAACTTATTGCAAGGGCTTACTTCCCTTTACGGTACACTCGTTTTGTCTGGAACAGTAAATTCCAGAGCCGTGATTCTGATTTAAGATCATAAAAAAAAACTTTCGCAGTTCCAATACAGGGCTACCAACCGTTTGGATTCCGGACGGACTGTCTTTGGTCCTTATAAGAATTTGGATCCGTGTGTGGATTTTATGTTGTCTTAATAAGATTTAGACACAAAATGTTTTAAAAAACTACAACTTCTACATTAAAATATTGGGAAAATTCAGTTATTTCACGCGATAAATGGGTAATTATTTTTTGCCCGCGTGCAATAATGCATCGCGATGTTGTGGCAGTTGACAAAGGCCTCACGCCGCTCTCCTTGGCGAACGAGAACTGGCGCAAGCCAAAGGTCCTGAGCGTCGCGGATCGGAAGGACGTATGGAAGAGCAAGGAGCTGCACGGGAGGTTCTATCGGGCCCTTACAGGTCCTGATGTAGACCTCCTCGCCTCGGTGAACTGGCTACGCTTCGGTGACCTCTTTGGGGAAACCGAGGGTTTTGCTTGTGCAATTGCTGACGAGGTCATGATGACGAACAATTACCGAAAATATATCCTGAAGGACGGTACGGTCGACATTTGTCGAGCATGCCACCGTCCCGGAGAGTCACTCAGGCATATAATTTCTGGTTGTTCGCATCTTGCTGANGAGCCCCAACAAACACATGATGGGACGAGGATTCATTTGCCCTGATATTGGCCGAATAACAGTAGGTTGCTGTGCTCATGTTATGACAATTTTGTGGTTTTTGAGCTGGGCAAGGTATCAGGAACATGTATTTCCACCTGCCTAGTTCCTAGATAATATTTTATTGACCCATGAGTCAGATTAAAATAATAATAATAAAAAAAAGGTGTTTTATTTTGCTTCTAACCTCTATAGTCTTAATAAAAAAAAATTTTTTTTAAGGACTTGGATACAAAATGATATTTATATTCTGTTTCTTACTGGTATAGACTATTTAATAAATAACAAATTACATGCTGTAATGTCTGTCCACCTCAGGCCAAAGGTCCCATACTAAGTGGGCATAACCCTTTGCGTCCAGTAACGTATCGTAATTTTTTATAAAAATAACTTGAATAAATATTGAAAGATCCATAAAGATTTTTCTATTCTTTCCTCCTGCAATCAGTAACAAACAAAGCACCTGATTCAAGCAATAAAACTACAAAAGCAAACCCCCCAATCAGTGGCACGCTTACATTTTACAGCCACTCGTAAACGAATATAATTCTACAAGTAAGTATCACGATGATATTAATATCATTAACTCATTTACGATATTTTTACGAGGCTGCTGCCGCTGCATACGGTGTTATGGTGCCCTATTGAGAAGGGAGACCCGAATTGACAAGCATGTCTATGGATTTGGGAAAAATAAAAGTATAGATTAACTAGCAATGCTTAGTATTAAAATTTCTTACCTTAAGTAGCTTAGATGGAAGAGCATTCGCCCGGCAAGCGAAAGGTCATAGGTTCGATTCCTGCCTTAGGCAGTTCGATTTTTTTCAAGTTATTTATAATTTCGCAATGCTTGCTAACTCCCTTTTATTTTTATTTCATCGTAATCTCATTTTTTGTTAATGAAAAAGGAAGGAATATGCATAATGTTTAGGCTAGGTACCTATATTGTATTTGGGTAAAGTCAGTAATTTCATTAAACCAAATAAGTAATGGAGAAATGAGGAATTGTAATATTAAACATAAGCACATCAACATGTCCGTTGAAAATATAAATCATTCTTTAGTTTCTTCTATTGTTAAGTTACGGCACAGAATAAGTAATANTAATAAATATCCTTGGACATTTTACACTGCGCTTCTAGTCCCAAACTAAGCAAAGCTTGTACTATGGGTACTAGACAACGGATATAAACATACTTAAATATTAGTATAGAAGTATAGATAAAGCCGCCGGGCTTGGCGTGTAGAGTCCTTTAAAAGACCCGTCAAAATGGCTACCCTACTCGCCTATCCGTAGTAATAAATAAAGGTAATCTTTCCGTTCAATAGTCGTTATTAAATGCCCTTTTATATGAGAAGATATGGCGAGTAATTTATTGTTTCCATACATTGTACAGAGAAAGTTATGGGGCATAAAATTTGGCATTAGACATTTGGAGTACGTAGGATTTGGCAAAGAGGTTCGCTTATGAAGAAATTAAATAATAATTATATTTATGATACCAACATATTGGGATCACTCTGTAGATACTGGATACACTTTGGTACTTTTTTCATAATGTTATTTTGGCTAGTAGTGCATTTGGGTTAGCGTGATTTAGGATAACGTGCATTCGTGCTAGGTATTCAGGAATACGCTGAGTTGCACCACCTAACTTTGATCGTAACTTTAACGATAACCGGTGTTGTTTGTATGGAGTTTGATAGATTTGTGATGTCAAAGTTAAAGTAAGATGGTGCAATTCAGCCTTAGCGTAATTTATGGACAGAGGGAATTGTAATTCCTTCAGTATATATTCAGTTTTAAGGTTTGTTGGTGAATGTATGCGTCCGTGCATTTAGCCTAGGCGCAGACCATCGATTTTTCGTCGGCCGATAGATTAATCGGGCAGTTGATCAGTATGGGCATGTATGGAAGTGCGCACATTACACCGATTGGATTTGGCCGATTCTTCATACAATTTCAAATCGGGCACAGCTATCGGCCAACTAAAAATCGGTGGTCTGCACCTAGTCTTATGCGATAAGTTTGTGCCTACCTGACAATTACTTACATACACTATCAGCATTTTTGTAAGCACTTACTAATACTACTGCCGACCTCTATTTTATCCACCAAACGAACATAAACCCGACATCTAACTCGTTACTTAAAACGATATCCATGTGTCTTTAGTGATGGTAATTTTATCAATATTTATAGCCGTGCCCAAATAATTGTGTTAACCGACATAAAGGGAAACTAACTCTGAAGGCTTCAACAATAGGAAGACATTAAGTCAAGCCGTTTCACCTGTCTTGCCCTGTAATTAGACAGTCGGAAAACATCGACGAACACAAACATTAGTGCGAGAAACATAGATGCTCAAACATTGGTGAAGAGGTTTAAAAATGGACAAAAGAATGATGTAAAAATTAGGGGAAACCGAAGAGAGTTGTACCAGAGATAAAAAAATTGGTAACGATAAACTGTTTTAGGTTAAAGGAATGAACTTTGTTACAACCCACCTCTGTTACAACTCTCCTGGGTCTCCCCTACCTAGTGTCAAACCAAGTAGTACCACAGTGTAAATCTTGATGCCGTTGTCCGTGAATAGGTACAGTTAGATTTGTATCCACAGATATTTAAATTATTTTGCCAATTAAATTAAATACTAGGAGACATTACATGTTTCAACATGAAAAACATCAATCTTTTAAACTGCGATCTCCAACCCGCCTGCCTAGCGTGGAGATTATGGCAAAACCCTCCACTATAGTGGAGGAGGCTCATAGTCCAGCAGTGGACTGTAAAGGGCTGTTGATGATGATGATGATGATTACATGTTTACCTGGATAAAATAATGGAAAAAAGATAAAGAACTTACATTTAAATCGATTTTCCTTATAACGGATTCAAGTAAATAGTTACTATGAATTTATGAATTACTTCATCGGGTTTCATTATTGTCTGCCATGTCTTAGGAAAATTATGAAGGTGTCAGACTCTTTTTTACTCTTTAAAGCTAACATTACCATAGTTTGGGAACCTCAATTCCAATAAAGCAGGTGCGTAACATGCGCGCGAGTCGATGCGATAGCAAACTATCGGCATCCCCCAATTTGTATTGTTTTACAACGTGTTAATAGCATTCCCGACGCCGATGGACTATTACGAAATATTTAAATCCACCTATTAACTTTATAACTAATTCGATTATTTGTTTGTCTTGCTGTAACGGTTGTAGAGCTCTAAATTTTTATGGCGCTTAATACAAACGTTATTTGAATTCCATTCAATTAAAAAAAAATACATATAAAAAAATGGCTCTTTTAGGTACTTCAAGGTTTAAAATTCGATTTAGTTTCAGTCACAGAAATTTTGCTGTAGGTAATGGGTCTAAATGTGTATTGAAATTCCACCAATCATATGCCTGAATCTATGCTTGAAACTGAATATAGTTACAGCTTCGTTCTGTGAAATTACCTACCTAATTGGAGTCTGAGGTCCGTCTTTAAAACTAAGATGAATACCTGGCACTATGTCTAATTTTTTGTTGAATGAATTAAGAACGTTGTACACTGGAACAGGAGAACAGGGTATCCATACAGGGCTAATCAGCACCTTGATTGATGTCAAGTGAGGAATGTTTCTTTTTTTGCTCTACTAATAGAGATCAGTAGTAATCAATTGGTAATCAGTCTTTAGAGATACGTGAAGCTAAATACCTACAAAATACAAACATTACAACGTTATCTAAAAAATGTAGAGCAAGAAACTATTTTTAGATACGAATTCAACTAAAAGTAACCGCTTAAAATTTTGACCCGCATTCGGTAAATTCGGTAATTCGGTAAGTGTTAACTATTTCAATGTCACTATTATCAGCCGTTATCATAGACACGGGTGATCACGTGACCGCTAGATAACGCGCCAAAACAACACGTCTAAGAAAAAAACATCCCCAAAGAAACTTAACGTTCCGCCTTCACAATGCCATTCGCTGTCTCGCTTACGCCACGCCAAAATACGCGTGTGAGAAGGGGACGGGGGAGTCATGTGGCCAAACGTCAGTCCCCAGGTGAGTTCGAAGTTTGAACTTATTCGAACGCGAGCTTTGCGCGGGAAAGCACGTAGTTCGGTGCATCGCGAGTCGCGGTCGGTTTTTTTATTTTTTCAAATTGTGGCTTTGGAATCAAAGTGTATAGTGACTGGAAAATTGCACATGGATTTTGGATATTGTGGAAAATGTTTTGTGTTATGTTTCTGGAACTGTCTCCTGTATTGTGCAACAAATAGGGATTTCTTTTGAGGACACGGAACGGTGAGTCGGGATCGGGATGCTTTGATACGATTGTAAAGAAATACTGACAAATATAAGGAATTGTAAAGGATGCCCCTCGTGTGGATTCCATTGGCGAGTTTCACTTCCCACACAACTGTGCGTTAAAATTCTCATGATCGTTTTATTTCTCTGCAATAATATTGTTGACTAAAAGACACAAAATTTTCACTTCCGTAGTTGAATCAATAATATTTTTTAATTTAAATAATATTATGATTAACATAGTAGTTACACGTGCTCCAACTACTTATAATTTTCAATTAGTATGCAAAATTTAAGTTTAAAACTTACTGCTGAAAGTCTGAAAGACTCTCATAAAACCACGTGACGAGCCGTTACAACAGATAGGTACGCACGGCAACCGATTTAACATAGTTATTTAATGTCAAGTAATATATTTACTACAAGTAAATCATTAAATAATAAAACCATTTCATAAAAATTTGATTCGTTTTGGCTGTCATTAAAATACAATCAAGAGTCATTCGATGTTAAAGATTTCGTCAAAGATAAACATGTCACCTTCCTTTATTTTTAATATTAAAGGATTTATAAGTATTTATTTTGATGGACTATGATGGTTACATATCTATTTAGAAAATGACACATTTTTAGAGAAGTAACGCCTGGCGGAAATAAAAGATAGAATCATCGGTACATATAAATATTAAAAGAAAGGAGGAAATACAGGCTTAGCTAAACTAATTTATGCTCTAATACTTTTATTTGTAATAAGAATATTTTACACTACCCCTTACACACATTTCAAATAGAGAGCTTGCTGTACATTTCTATTCCTGAAAAGTGGTAAAAAGAAACTCAGTCAACTTTATCCGCTTTATGTTTCAAAGTTCTGTCTATTTTCTTTTTTTTTTTTATTTATTTATTTATTTAATTTAATTACAAGGTTAGGCTTATAATCTAACATTTCTTATATCACTAAACATAAAAATGTTTGTTGTGACATTGCACATTCACATTCACACATTCTTATTCTTTACTTTCTTTTTCCTCAATCATATACTAAAACTTATTACTAAACACGAACTATTTTTGTTTTCCATAAACCAACAAACTCCATGACAACTTTCACACATTTTCTCAGGCGTAATCAATTCACAAAAACCCAATCCCATAATTATGTATGATATGTGCATAGCGACTATGGAATTATGTATGGGATCGATGGGCTATGACGATGGTATTTGAAATGCGTAGTATATTGACTTTTAATAGTTTGTACAACCCTCGGTTGGCATAAATGTGCGATCGGAAAAAATGAATTTTTCGCAAACTTTNTGTTTTTATTAAAACGTGTTGAAATTCAGTGACCAAGTACTATGTGAGTTAAACTTTATTAATACCCTAAAACGAAAACTATTAATTGGTAATTTAAGGAGCTGCAAGTTGAGCCCCGTAAAATTCCCTGATTTGTAGAACTACCCTTATAACTTTATGAATTAATTAAGTTAGGTATATTATAATTTGTATAATTTCAGAATAAATAAATAAACAGGTAATCGAATTAAGAGACATCGTAGTTTAATTATTTATTAAATGTCAATTAATATAATAGAGACTAATTAAAAGTTATGTAATGTAGCTAGATACGAATCGGATGCGAATGCAATTTATTTATTAATTTATTGAGGATGAAACACCGTTCAAGTTTACACTGAATTTAAAATATGACTTATTATGACAACTTCCGCAGTTATTAATCAAAACCAACATAAAATTCAATCGATTTACCTCTCTACCCCATTCAGCTCATATTCGCACTTCCTCGCACTTGAAAAGTCAATGAAATTCAAACGCGAAACCTTTAAGGGCCCTTTACACCCTTGAGCGACCCTCAATAAGACAATGGATCACAACAACCACTCTCACGCACTTACAATCAGCCTTTAAGGTCAGTTAGACCCTTAATTAATGCTAGAGTAGGACGGAGATATGGCTTTTCATAGCGCACGAAAGAGACGAGAGAATAATATGAGAATACAGATTATACACACCCCATAGAGTATAAAATCAGCGGACCATGCGCGAGTTTTTGCAGAACTCATACCTCTTTTATTTTTTAGTCTGTGAGAATGCTTTTACAGTCTAGTGCATCTGTGGATTTTTTTAATACTGGAAGAATGATTAGCACGCTATCTTTTGAAAGGGTGGGACCGTGCTTAAGGAAGGTCGTTATTTTCGCTGTTATCTTTTATGAGCATTAATTCTACCTGTACTTCTGAAACTGTCATAATAATTGTGGGAAATGTCATGGGGAAATGATAGAGTGCTACCTTAAACGAGTAATATGAATTCGTGGTTTGGGCAATGGTCATAATACAAGAAAACAAATGAGTAGAGACATTGGAAGTTGTAAGTAATATAAATTACAGAATATTAAACAAAATTGAAAATTAAATTCCATCATAAGCGTAGACTTTTAGGGGCCTCCTGTTACTTCTATCATAAGTATTGCTGGTTTGATTGGTAATCACATCTTTAATTTGATTTGTATAAACTTTAATATACATGACAGCATTTTTGTGTATATTTTTAAAAATCTACAACGAAATTTGCAAACGGGTCTTAAATTATCGTACTTATATGGGATTGGGAAACACATTAATCAATATGTAGAGGAAAGACACTAATTTATACAATTCCTAGTTGTCCCTTCCATTAATTATGCATACGATATTCAAATTGTGGTCCCATGCAATAAAAATCTCCCTTCCATAGTCTTAAAGTCACGTAACAAACAAATATTAATTCCATTGTGACCCTTGCCAATTCAAGTCGAAATTAAAAAATAAAAAAGACAACCTCTTGTCAATGGTCTTTAAAAAAAAATATAAAAACAAATCGTAGAGATGCTACTTCCTTGAGTTAACCCGTTAACCGAACCGTAAAATATTGTATTATCATTGTAATTTATTTGTTTAGAGCCCAATGAGGAGCACGCATTTAATTATGAGATTCAAAGGGTGGCTACAAGGACTTGTTGCTTTTTAATCTGGATGGTTAAAGTGCGCAAAGGCGTATTGTTTTGGGAGCTTGTTTAGTTTTATTGCAGTGTTGTGCTATTATTTTGAAGGATTAAAAAAACAAGTTACTAAAAGTGATGAGTTGCTGAATAAAATATTTCATATGCCTAGATTTAACTGACATAAATAAGACTATTCCGTTCGGAACAAAAACTTCAGTTTAATTAACCATTACCAACAAAAATAAAGTCTTTTGCATTTATAATATGTAAGTACTTAGTTAATTTTATTTTTATATCAGAGGAGTTTTTTCTACACATAATAAATAACTTATTATTTCACATAGTAGAGTCCCCTTCCCACTACTTTATTTAGCGTTTATTTTCGACGTAACAAGTCTCGCCCAAGCTTCAATATCACTTACTAAGCGAGTTTTTTTAGGTCGTCGGTTCACACGGAATCCAAACAGCCAAAGCAAGTGAAAAAAATAACAATAACAGTACGAAATTGTAACGACTCGACGAAGGGGTAACGACGATTGTGTTAGTCGATTAAATCGATTGGAAGATTTAATTTTGAGCCCCAATAATCGATTTGTAGATTTTTTGTGAACCTAATTTCGATCATAAATAATTGCTAATGTGAAATTTGTATTTTTCTTTTCTTCTTTTAATTAAATAGTGCATGATTAATATGTAACATACAAAATACGAAAATAATACGAAATAATTGTAAGTTGTCGGGAGCAATAAATCAATGGTTACAGTTATAATTTGCGATTGAGTACTAGGAAAAAAACCATGTCACATTATATGTAATACATAGGTATATCTAGTATGTATAGTAAATGATTAGTAGCGAGAGGATGACGTTATTAAACTTATTTACATTCTTGTCTAAGAAATTATCACTTCAAATTGCAATAATTAACCCAAATGAATCGTTCGTTTTCCTTATAAAGCAAATATTTCAGAATGTAGCAAAATTATCACATGTAGTAAGTCTTGAAGTTTTCGACATACCTATTACCCTTAATAGGGCGACAGTTACAGGTGCGTTTGCTTTAAGGCTCCTACGTGATGTTAAAAAACTTTTAAAACTCATTTATATTTGCAAGTAGGCTTTTAAAAAGTACACGTACTTTTACACGTGAGTATTAACTCTACCACTGCCTTCTTACAATAAATGGGCCAGTCTTGAGAAGAACAGGCGCAAGAAACTCAGCTACGGGACTAGTCCCAAATCTCGCTACCACTAGTGGTGCAGCGCAACTCATATATGGCCAGGATCTAAAGTTCGACCTTTGAAACCCGACCAGAAAAGTTTGAGTAGGTAGTCCTTAAGTGGCGTAGAAATAAAGCACGTAAATTGTGCTAACGTTATTGCTTAAATTTTAACGCCTCCTTTCAAGCAGCTATTTCTTCAAAACTTCAAATTAGATTTTTAAAACTACTCTAACTCTACTTCAGTCTTAAAGAACACTAAATTCTATTTCTATAAAAATATGACATGTATTTTTACCCCATATACTCCCATGAAATACTAAAATTTCATTACATACGGTACGTGGGACTCTTAACTGTTTGGTAATTGACAGCGAGTGAGTTAAATGCAACATGCTAGCTAATTGGTCTTTAATATCAATGCGGAATCACTAAATGGTTACATTTGGTACGTAGATTCAATATGGCAAGACATCTGGACAAGTGATTTGCCTAGTATGCCGAAAGGTTCCGGGTTCGTTTCTCGGCCGGATCAATTAATTGCTTTTCTTGCTAATCTCCAGTGTGAGTGTAAGTAACTATTGGTGTGTCATTGAAAGATGGCTTTTGCTTAATGTTTTTAAGACAGTCTGTTGTCTTTCTGAACCTTTATGTAATACATTAATTGTGTTTTTACATAGGTCGCATTTTATTTAATGTTTGTAAGCATGGTTTGCGATGTATCACAGAAAACCTTTAACATACGTCTCCCGATAAAAAAATATAACATTTT